GGCTCGAAACTGTGGCAGCCAGACCACCTAACCCGACGCTGAAGTCTAGGAAGATTGAAACAGATCCAGAGCCAGCTCGACGAAATATCTCAGGCGAATACACTTCTCAGCGACAAGTCGGTATAAACTATCGAACTCTTTTTCCCTCATCATTCTTTAATACCGTCGCGTTAATATCCACGTCTGGATAAGAAATTGCAGATTCCAATCAATTCATCCCTTCCGATGATACACGAAGCCGTAGCCGGTAGCCCTCGGACGTCCTCGAGCCGGGATACGCCCCAAATAAAAAGGCCAGCCAATAGAGTGTCCAAAGGAGGGGTCCAGCGCGAAATTAAAATATCCTTCGGTCGTAATGACTCGGGGTACGCTGGTAACGACGCACGTGAACCCTACGTACGGGCCCGTCTAACTTTGTTTGCGATATTCGACGCGCGTACGAAGGGTGGTGCAGATCCAACCTCTCGCGGAGGGTGCGGCAACCCTTCGAATCGGCCGGATCTGCCGGACATATGCCGAAAGAGAGAGAGATGCGCATTGTATTATTCACGATACAACGTTACCCCGATTTTTAATACGAGTTCCGGAGCTCGACGATGGGGCTCCTCCTCGCGTTGTGCATTGGTAACATCGTAATGGGATTAGTCGCGTTATTAGGGGCTTAAAATCACGACTATGTTTCCTCTGATCTCTCCTGGCCGATCTCTACACCATCGCGGTGTCGCAGCGCGATTAATTCGTTTACCGTGGTTCCTCGTGTGCTTGTTCATGCCAACCCGCGGTAAGTGTCTGCGGATTAGCGTGTGAACTCGGCGCAGGAATTAAACGTCGGAAGATTTATCGTTTCGAGGTGTTCGATAGCGTTCACGGGCTCGTTGTACATTTATGTAAGTACCATTTCCGTAACACTTCGGCATGTGCCGATTTATTACCTGCAGCGGCCGTCGTGGCGTCGCGGACAGCTCGAAAGGGACATACGTCGTCCGAGATACGAATCGACTTCTCGCTGGCATGTGCAAACGGCTCCATCGTTATCGCGTATCACCGGCAGATACACGTGACGATACCAGCTAGAACACGACGATTCCTACGAGCGTGTAGCCGCTTTCTACGTGCCGTGGCAGGTGCCAAGGGTCGAGTCCGTTCGCACGAAAATGTGCCGCGGATGACGAAGTGGAAACGGAGAAGGAGAGCGATACCGGCTACTCGAAAGGAGGTTTCGACGTTAAATATTAATTTTCCGGTTTGTGAACACCGCGAGTTCCGTGCACGACACGGTCGATAAAGCACCCACGAGTAATCAAGAAATTACCTCGCGGCTTCGCTGCGAGTACCATGCGCGTAGTATTCCGGGCCACGTACAGCGAATTAAGGCGTCCATTACCAAAATTCACTCATTCCTGCCCGACACGGCTTGTCCCACGGTTCCCCGCTTAATGAACGAACGATTAGGGGTATCGAGTTGCCAAGCTGGACAATGAAACTCGAATTCATTGGCAATTTTCGAATCGTTCGTATAGTTGACTTAGGTACGCGAATCATCCCGCTACGGGGGCAAATTTAATGTAACTCCCGGTTTCGCAAGTATGTGACCGTGGAATTACTCGCGAGCTGCGTCTCTAGAGAACGACAACCGAAAGCTGGCTCCCATTTTCATCGATCGTGCACGTTTAAGAGTTTGCATAACTCAGATCGTTAAAATTCTCGGCCACGGAATAGCGAAATGCGCAACTGCGGGTACTCGGTCCCTCGCCTCCAACGCGAAACGCAGTTTTAGCTGCCGATGTTGGCCAAATTTCGCCAATTTCGTTACCTTCCCGATCGTGATCGGGTGTTCGACCATTCGCGATACCGAGCGCCGATGGACGAACAAGGTTGTCGATGCGTGGAAATAATTTAACGATGCTTAGGACCCGGAACCGAGCAACTTCTAACGGATCAGAAGTGAGTTACAACCCTTCGCGGACAGAGCAATTTTGAGTAAACCGCACCGTGGAGCCGAGCCGCTGTCGCGATAGTCATTCAAAACTACCAGTGCGATTTTCGTTCATAGCGACGCTGACAATAAGAACATAAAACAGTCCATTGATTAACACGTTGAGTGCTATGTCAGTTCCTGGGGACTGATAGTAGACTTTTCGTTCCAACGGCGTGGATTCTAGGAACTGACAACCAACTTTTCGCTTGGATGACATCGGTGACGTGAGACCGGCATTGTCAAAGGTTCAATTATTAACACATTGCGTATGGGTGACAAGATATCTCGTCTTCAGCAAGCCGATCCTTGCAGCCGGGCGACGAGGTATCTCGTTTTCAAGTTTCTTCGACTCAATCGATGATTTAAGGAATTAAAAATAGATTTTCTCGTTACGTTACCAGGCTAACGAAGTCACGGTATATAAAGTAATATTTAAGAGTACCTTATGCGAATATAATACCAAATGCGAATTAAAAAAGTGCATATATACATTGTATAAAGTGTTTCCGGATTGCACAAAAATGTGCGGACCCTGGAAACACGTTGCGTAAGCAGAGTGCCATACGCAATGTGTTAATGACAATTAATATATTGTAAAAACCAAATTCCCTCTGCTGAAGTAAATCTTTACACTTCCGTGGCTTTCTCTGACTGATCGTCTCTTGGTGATCGCCTTTATGGCTTTCCCCGTTATTTTCTCTTTATAATTTGTATATTTGCATTGGCTGTACCATTTTCACAGTCCAAACGACAAAGTGAAACAAAGTAATCTTCTGCTCATACTCTTCAGGATACTCGAGCACTCATACATCTAGTGCACACTAGTCGCCTGAGCGGAAAGTATAGCAAAATTGGCGCCGCATTCAAAGTGTTAACCCTTTGCACTCGAGAGGTGAGCTTCAGTCGCCATTTCATAAAATTTGAAAGATCGATATTAATTAATATATCAAATTTTGTGCAAAGTATCGAAGTCAAATAATTCTACAATTCTATTATTATATAATTCTTTATGCACTGCTCAGAAAAGTATCGTCAGTTTCTTAGTAGAGAATCTTTGATTTTCTACTCTTTTCTAGCCAAAAATTCGTCGAGTGCAAAGGGTTAACTTGAGACGTGCGGTCCTAGGGCCGCAACAGCGGGTGAATATATGTGTTTCTCGACCATTGCAACACATTTACGTGGGACACATTTATGAGTCCCTTGGCCTTATCAGTTGTTTTCGTCGAACGCATATATGCGACGCTCGTCTGCAAAGAGTTAAATGTTGCAAATGACTTTCAGAATCAACGCGAACAGTCGATTGAAGGGTCGTTCGACCAGTGGGTGCTCGTGGAGTTCGTTTAATCCGATGAACCACGGATAAGTTTTACCTGATAACTCGAACGATAGTTGAGCGACGCAGGATACTCGTGGAGTGCAAATCGTTGAATGGAAAAAGCTGCAGGTCCTCGGGTAGATTTGAGATTCGATTTGGATCTTCCAAGTTATTGAATATCGATACGAGCAGAAACGAAGTTACCTTTTCAGAGAGTCGATAGGTTCCGTGAAGGAGCTGACAGGCGGATCGTCGAGAATCGTAAACACATTTTACAGATAATTGATCGAACTCCGAGGCATGATGCTTTTAACGAAATTATCTTCCGACTTCGGTCTGATTATTTTACGAGAAGCACGCTGACTGAAAATTCGCTCGAACGAGTAAACGAAAAACGAAGGCTGTTACCTGTGGCAGGGTTTTTCTTCTGCGAATGTTCGCTCTGATTCCCGTAAAATGTCCTCCAATTTTACCTTCGCGGAGACCACTAATGACACTTCCTTCGGACACGCTGGATACCTGGGCCAATCCCATGGTCTCCTCCTACGAGCTTATCTTGATTGCCTGTATAGATTCTTCGACGTCTTTCTCTCGGGATCTAAATCGGCAATTTTTAACCATTTTTATTTGACGTATATATCGATTAATTATCGAAATTCTGTTATTTAAATTACATTAGACAGATATCACTCGCACCAGAACGTCTCTGTTATCTCTTTTGTTTGTCATTGTGCAAGAGAAATGTGTCAAAATCAGACACAGAAAATTTAAAGAATTGCACGTGACGCGTGAAAATTCTTGCGTCGCACTGATCGCGAAACACAAATAAGGAGAACACGAAATCACGGTGTTTCCTTTGCTCTTTCACCCCTTCAGCGGCAGAAGATCGGAAACTCAAACCATTCATTTAGAAAAGAATCACACGAGCAGTCGTGTCAGACGCACGTGAGCAAACAAACAAACAGAATACTCACGATACTCGAATGAAGCCCTGCTCTGACCGTATCCACCGGATCCGAGGATCGTTTCCACCAATTTAAAATTATACTTCAAAATCATTGCGAGGAACGAATGCGCGCGGGTATAATAAGAGGACAGTGCTGGGGTTAGAGACTGTGTAGGCCAATAATAGTGGAAAGATGGGCACACGGAGGCAGTATAAAGTTTCCGGACATATTAGCCACCCGTCGAATTAGCGTTGCGAGAAAATGCCCTACTCGGTGTCGATCCCGAGGGAAGCACGCCGCTTGGTCCCCGCGCGCGTTTGGGGTGACTCGAAAGGGGCACCCTCGAGAAAGGGCGGGGCCCCGTACAAAAGGGGCCCCGAAGGAAACCAACCCCTGGGTGGAGTTAGCACCCCGTATATATTCTTGTGCGGTGGTCTTTGGGGTGCAGAGCACGGTATACTAGCGAACTGCGAGGATCTCCACGTCTCTGTACCACTCACCGTCCCGGAATATCCACTCGAGACGTTCGAGGGGTTCAGAAGGAGAGTCTTAAAAAGTTAGCGACGGCCTCGGTGATATTGGACGATACGTTTGATCCGCTTTAAACGGCCAGGTGATACCCGGTGAATCGACGAGAGATTGTGCACAACGACGCTTAAGTGACCGCAGTACTGTTCAGTGTTTCGAGTACGAGTGTTGTTCAATTCGATCGAGGAGGATCGCGCCGAATTCCACGTGCAATAGAAGATAATTCGACGACATGTCGCGAAGTTTCCTGGTGGACTCGCTAATTGGGAACAATTCGCCACCTGCGTATCCGTTGCCCTATTACGGCAACCAATTGCCGAGCTATATGTTCAACTTCTTCAACCTGGGACTAGGCTACCAGCCGATAAGACCTGTCCCAAGACCACCGGCAATGCCAGTTCCGGTTCCAATTAGCCCACCCGCTCTGAGAAGCCTGCCTCCGGTACCTGGCCAGAGTCCTCCATCGCCTTTAAACAGCTGCACGAGCAGACTCTCCGGTAAATATCACTCGCTGTTTCCCGCGAGCTCGAATTTCTCGCAAACGTTCCGCCAAATGACCCGCGAAATGTCCCACGGAAATGTTCCACGCTAACGTTATCGCATTCTTAAAGATGTTTCAGCACCGAGCGAATCACCTTCGCGTAATAGCACCCCGACACCGCCGCCAAAGTCACCGAATTCCATGAATAACAGCTCCAAGAGGATCCGAACGGCTTTCACGAGCACTCAATTATTGGAGCTGGAGCGCGAGTTCGCATCCAACATGTACCTCTCGCGTCTCAGGCGGATCGAGATCGCGACGAATCTCAGGTTATCCGAGAAGCAAGTGAAGATCTGGTTCCAGAACCGACGGGTCAAGTACAAGAAGGAAGATCTGCCGTCCGGACAGACGCAGAAGTGTTGCTGTCTGAGGACGTGCGGGAAGAGGAAAGAAGGTTGCGGCGACGACTCGTCGAGCCGGAAATGCGAGCAGGAGGACGAGAGATCGGCGAAGGGCGAGAAGACGGACACGATCGACAAGTCCGTGGACGCGATCGGACACGAGGAATCGTCGAATTGCACCGTGGATCGTTTCGAGCAATCGATCCCTTTGTTGGCCGTCACGGACAGCTCGCTGCGGCTTCCGCCGGAAACGGAAGAGAAATTAAATCTGCCGCGGGTGAACGCGATGGCCGATCGTGTCGGTTACGAGAGGGACGTTCGCAATTTGTCCAGGAGCTCGAAAAGGAACATGGTCGACGTGTCGGAGGAATCGGACGATAAAAAGAGACGGATCGATGGATCCTCCGCTTATCAGAGCGCGATTCGGGACACTGCTGTCGGGCCCGTGTTTAGGGGCATGGGGTGCACCAAGCACACCGTGGAAAGGATCGTCAATTCGTAGGAAGATAAAATACGGGTCCGAGATTGCGCCTGTCGCGAGGCTCGCGTAATCTTTTCCAAGATTACATTGGTCCCAGAGCCGCCATCTTGAAACGTGCACGAACCACATCGCTGTAAATACGTTCTACGAGCCTTGTAAATACTGTAGATATATTTTTGTAGGAAGCGCAGGTGGAAAGATCGCTGTATATTTTGGATATAATTTTAAGGAGAATAAAATAGATCACTGGAATTTATCGCTGGCCTTCCACTTTGAATACCTTCCGGAATACTTCGCGTAATGGATGTCGCTTTTCCCTCGCGATATATTTTATTTCGCCAGGATGCGACGTTCTTTGCGTTTGTTTATTGGCATTACGAAACGATGCTCGAGGAACCGTGCAGTTTCGCCGAAATTTAATAGGCGATGAGGATCGATGGCTGTGGACTTGAGGCCGCCATGATAACGATCTCGGCGGTACGCTCGTACGGAGCTCTAACTTTGCCAGTCCGCGAGAATTACGCGTTAAACGGCTGGTAATCGATAAATATTTCATCGCGTAAAACACGATAACCCTTCGTGCCAATTTCGCGATGCGATTTAGAGTTCAGTCCCGACGATATGCTCAGTGAATCATCGCTCCACCACCGGCTATTGATTTCCGCGCGAGTTATTGCGGTAAGCTCGTAGGAAAAAGTAGCATTACACCGTGCGGATTATTTATCAGCAAAAGGTGTACGGGGAACAACGTTGCCTTTATCTATCGGGGTCGAGGTGTATCGGCAAATTTATTGGCGGTACAAATCTTCGTGGCAAAAAAAGTCCCTTAGTCCTGCAGATATAAAATATAGTTTCGAGCGAAAGGTCGACGTTCGATACGAGCCGCCGATAAAATCGAAATGCAAATACCTGTCTCTACCGATGCTAGCGAAAGCGACGAATTCATTTGACGGAGGTTCGTCGTGGATTCTCATAAATAAGCAAGCGCTTGTCAACCTTGACGGCCATTAATTCTTACTGGAATTACAAACGTAACAGTTACGTAGTTTAGATTATAGCATTATACAGATTTCCCGATTTCGGTAATTTTATAAAATCGGTGATATTCTGAGTGTTCACGACGCGCTTTGTCCAATGACTTTTCGCGAAAAAGAATCGCGTTTACCTGTGCTTCTGTTGGTCAGCACTCTCATAAATAGGCAAGCACTTGTCAACCTTGACGGCCATTAATTCTTACTGGAATTACAAACGTAACAGTTACGTAGTTTAGATTATAGCATTATACAGATTTCCCGATTTCGGTAATTTTATAAAATCGGTGATATTCTGAGTGTTCACGACGCGCTTTGTCCAATGACTTTTCGCGAAAAAGAATCGCGTTTACCTGTGCTTCTGTTGGTCAGCACTCTCATAAATAGGCAAGCACTTGTCAACCTTGACGGCCATTAATTCTTACTGGAATTACAAACGTAACAGTTACGTAGTTTAGATTATAGCATTATACAGATTTCCCGATTTCGGTAATTTTATAAAATCGGTGATATTCTGAGTGTTCACGACGCGCTTTGTCCAATGACTTTTCGCGAAAAAGAATCGCGTTTACCTGTGCTTCTGTTGGTCAGCACTCTCATAAATAGGCAAGCGCTTGTCAACCTTGACGGCCATTAATTCTTACTAGAATTACAAACGTAACAGTTACGTAGTTTAGATTATAGTATAACAAATTTACCGATTTCGGTAATTTTATGAAATCGATGACAATCTGAGTGACCACAACGCGTGCTGTCGATGGCCTATTCGGGAAAAAGAATCGCGTTTACCTGTGCTTCTGTTGGTCAGCACTCTCATCAATAGGCAAGCGCTTGTCAACCTTGACGGCCACTAATTCTTACTAGAATTACAAACGTAACAGCGACGTAGTTTAGATTATAGTATAACAAATTTCCCGATTTCAGACCTGTGCCTCTGTTGGCCAACGTTCTTATAAATAAGCAAGCGTTTGACAAGCTACATGGGCATGAATTCTTTCTGGAATTACAAATGTAAGCTTGGTTCAACTCGCTCGAGTTATCTGTATTTTTCACTGCAAGCAAAATCGAGAAATTTTTTCGATGAAATTCCATCATGGACTCTCATGAATAAGCAAGTGTTTAACAATCTTGACAGCCATTAATTCTTCCCGGAGATATAAATGTATTGGAGCGTTGTTCAACTCGTGCGACTTATCTTTATCTTCCAAACTCCGTCGACGAAATCTCGCTATGAACTACCATAAATAAGCAAGCATTCAACGATCTTGGTGATCATTAATTTCAGTCGAAACTACGATTGCAGAGGTCGTTTAATTCGAGATAATCAGCTCGCCAGGAGAGAATTTTCCGACGGCCAGTTGCGATAAATTGCAGATTCTTATAAATGGACAAGTGTTTAGTAATTTAGATGGCGAATAATCATCGTCATAATCAACGTCATTTAACCCTTTGCACTCGAGGATTTTTTGACTAGAGAAGAGTAGAATATCAAAGATTCTCTATTAAAACACTGACGATACTTTTTCGAGCAGTAAATAAAGAATTGTATAATAATAGAATTGTAAAATTATTTGACTTCGATACCTCGCACACTGTTACATTGCATTAAATTTGATATATTAAATAATATCGATCTTCCAAATTTTATGAAATGGTGACTGAAGCTCACCTCTCGAGTACAAAGGGTTAATTCCTGTAACTTACTTTAATTCTTTACGACGTACTACAAAATCGACGAACGCGACAAGATTTTCGTCGTTGATTCGATTAAGCAAGCAAGGATTCAGCAAGTCTAATGTCTATTAATTTCCTCCGAAACTATGAAAGTAAAGTGACATCGTATTACTCGCATTAGCCCGAGTCTCCAAGACTTTCACGAAACAGACGAACTTGGTCGGCAAAGTTCCATCGTGGATTTCCACAAACAAGCGAGCATTCAGCGACCCCGATGTCCACTAATTTCTGCGGAAATTAGAACGGTAAAATGGCGCCGTTTAACCCGCGCGAGTTATCGCATTGTGATCAGCTTCCGGGGAAACAATTTTCCGACTGCCAGGTCGCGATGAAACGGATTAGGGGGTCCGACGAGGAGCAGGAGTCGCAGAGAGGACGGAGAGGAGGAAGGACAAGAGGTTGTAGAAGGATCACTCGAAAGCCAGAGTCGCGATGACCGGAGCGCGGCGCCATTGTCGATGGGAAATCGGCCGTGATGCCGTAAATCCTGGAAATTTGTCAAGAGGCCCCCACTTTGGGTTAAATTTAAGGTAAAACGTAGTTAATGGTGTTAAGGAGCGAGACGACAAAGGCCCGGAGGCACTCTCGCATCCTCGTCGATCGACAATGGGACACTTGTGTCGACTTCGTGCTCGCAGCGGGTGTGCGAACGTGAAAACCGGCTGCCTTTTTTTTTCTCTTCGCTTCTCGTCGTCCTGGGCCCCATTCACGGATCTTCGACGAACTCGGAGGTTCTTGCTTGCCTCGTTCAGCGGCGAGAAGAATGAATGGGCCGGAGACTGCGGGAAAAGTCGGAATCAAAAAATTGTCAGGTTCGCGAGTCTGCTCGCTTTCTTCGTTTCCCTCTTTCTTGTCGAGAGAAGAGGCTTCTCTTCGCGTGAAACGCAAGAGCGGTCGGTGCTTTTGAGGACCCCGTCCGTTGGTTTACAGGACGTTTAGTGGTCGCTGTAGCGTTCACTCGTCGCGAATTTCGCGGTCCTTTAACGTGCATGCCACTTTAGTTCGAATTTGATGGAACTGCTCTTTCGAGAGGGACAAATTGTCAGGACTCGGATCGATAATCCACATAATCGCGATGTCTCTGTTTGGATAGAAGTATACTTTATTTACTCGTTTATTTATTTATTTACTGCGAGAATATTCGGACAAATGACTATGTTTGCATACTTGAGAAAGTATGAAATAATATATCCGATAAAGCTAATTTAAAACTGACGATAAAAATAAAGGAATCTAACTTTAACACGTTCACAACGGCGTTTACCACTGGTGGCTCGCACTTGAATGTTCCATCGGAACAAAAGTTCAGTGTAAACTTTTTATTTACGTAATATGTCTCCTTTTTAATTGACTTACACGACTCAAAATATAAAGGTTAATACAGGTAACCCTCCTATAACACGGTAGATAGGTTCACAGAAAATGCCGTGTTGTATGAGATCCAGAGCCAGTACAAAAAGGGGGGTTACGTTCCGGAAATGTACTGAAAACAATTTTTTTTTAATTCTACATAAACAACTTAATTTTTATTAAAAATATAAATGTATGTACAACACGAAACAAAAAAGAGACAAAAATATTATTTTAATTTAACGCAACTTTAATTTAATAAATTTCTTGGTCACTGCTCATGTTAAAGTACAGTGCTGTACAAAGGTTCTTGCAATTTTCTTATTATGTTAGAGTGAAACCGTGTTATAGGTTGCTGTGTTGTAGCAGGGCTACCTGTATATTAAAATAGTAGCCTGGGGCATTTGAATACAAGCAATGCATGAAAGCGAGAAATACAGAAACCAGCGTCAACGTGAACGTGTTAAATTAATTATAATTATAAGATATTCTTGATCTCTGTTGGAATATGTACATATTGTACTAATCGTGACATCTATTACATTATATGTAAATCTATTTGTATATTCTCAGGCGATTAGCGTGTATTCGTTCTACAGTTCGAATTCTTTCCTTTGTCTAGATCGGACTACCGTGTCATTAACACTAGGTTTACGGACGCTATCTGTATACCTATTTCCAAGGACGCCTGTCAAATTGACAGGTAAAGGAAACCACGCGCCTTTTCTTTTTAACGATTAGTTTAATTTAAAAACAATTATATATTATATTAACAGTCTTAATATAAGTTAACTAAATCTGTTACCATCGTATAATTGGAGCAACCCTTCCGTCAAATTGTAATGACTATAACAATCCAATAGGATTTTTCTCTCTTATTTATTTAAAAAGATTAGCTCACCACGATATTAGTCGAAAATGTCAATATAATA